CGATGAATATTGTCTTGGATGAATAATGTTTTTGATGAATATTGTTTTTGATGAATATTGTCTTTGGTGAATTTAGTTACATTATATTACAATAGTAATGCTATATTAGCAGTACGGTATAAAATTCTCTATTGTCTATTTTATTACCTTTGACTTAACCTCTTTTTATTCGAATAAATAGCAATTATTACTTATCATTGGATTTAAGTTATATTTTATTTTACATATTTCACAAGAATTTACAAATATTTATAAACAATTTTTGCAGATTAATAATTGATCAACTTTATAGTAAATTTTTATTAGGTGTGTGTAATGTGCTATTAGAACTCAGTTTGTGATAGTTATATTTAATATAACAATATGGTCATTATTATATCAGCAGTTTTTAAATATATTAGCTTAAAATAACGACCAAATATTTTGCAAAACTAAATAGTTAACACACTTGTATATACATAGAATTTCCTATCATTTTGTCAAGAGTATTATCAGAACCTTATTTGTAATTATGATGAACTTTAAACCACTTACTGTTAGAGCACTAACATTATTCTTATTGTTATGATTTTTTCTTTTCCTTTTATATTGCCACTTCATATAGTATGAAAATTGATAGCATTTTTCCATCGATTTTATTGATAATTGTAAATCATATTACAATGTGTATTAATTACAACGCATGTAATATAGACCATATTGACTTCTTAACTTTTTATTAATAAGTACGTTTGAATTATTAGTCATAAATTTTAGTATGTTTAATAAAAAATAATATTACTACAATTTGATCAATGAACTATATATATAGTCTATGAACGCTTAGTTTATATACAATTCTACTCCGATATATATAGCATATCGTCCTGCTTTTTTATTCAATTTTGATATTTTTAAAATCAAATTCTATTTTATAGTGCAAAAGAACTTTTTATTTTAATTTTTATAATTATACAAAACAATAATATAATATCAAATAATAATAAAAATATCAAAGCCCATGAGGTCCATAAATTTATTGAATGTCTCAATTGTTCTATAAACATTCGCACCAAGGTAAAAACGGCGGTTCATCTGTAATAGCATTTCTTTGTAATCCACTAATGGAACTTATTAAGAAATTATGTTCAAGTTTATGGTTTTCTGTGCAATTTGTGCAAAAAAAGCTGTTGTTAATGCTTTATTTATATTTAAAAAACATTTAAAAGCTAATACTCGAGTATTAACAATGTATTTTATTTTTAGATGTTAAGGGAATTTATATGTTAATCTTTTTACTATAATTGTACAATGGTTATTAGGTAGTTTAATCAATGTTAATTTGTAATATGGAGTAGTTTTATAATTTTCAAGTGTTTTCTGAAAAGAAATTGTATCTAAGCACTTCTAGAATGAACTCGCTGAGAGTTTCATATAAATACTAATATAACAAATTGTGACAAATATTGATCTACCTCAATTAGTCAATTTTTACTCTAAACCTAAACAAAGACATAAAATAATTTTATTGTAGGAAAATGTTTTTGTGATATTTTTTTTACAAAATTTTGGATTGAAATTCTGTGGAAGTAGTATTACCACTAATTTCCCAGTTCAAAAATCTATGTATGTATTACTGACTTCAGTAATACTTGGATTTTTTATTAGTAATATTTAGTAAGAATACGTTAAATTATTGATTTTTTAATGAGTGATATATTACAGTAGGTATATGTAAAATTATGCTTAGAAAAGTATTATTGAATATTGATTGTTGATTAGTGATATTATAGAAGTCACATGTAAAATTATGCATTAGAACAAATATTAAATTACTGATTTTTTGATGAGTGATATTATAGTAGTTATATGTAAAATGAAGAATATTTGTATCGTTTTTATCTTGCTTTTTGCCACTTATCGAATTTGTTGATAAAAGTGTTGGTTTTTGTCTTTGTTGTAACCACATTAAAAATTCAAAACAGTTTGTATGCCGCCCACGTAAAATTTGTTTTTTTGAAGTTGATCCCATCCCAAAAAAATGTTTTTGAATTTTGTGATTCATAGTAATGGTATGCAAAAGCTCTCCAAAATATATTATATTAAGAATTCACAGTTCACACATTGATGTTTGTAATATAGGAAATTTTAAACTAAGAAGTCAAATGGAATTTTTATGAATGTTTTTATTAAGTGCCAACTTATCCAAAGAGAGATTTTTATTTAACAATAATTAAATGGCAATCAGAAAATTTCTGTAAGCTATTGTGCTGGTTCTTTAAAC